CGACATTACCATTTTGCCTCAAAACAGAATGAGTACCTTGATTCTCCAGAGCTCTCCCACTAGCATCATCCAATTTAGCTTCTTCGTCTTCGAACTTGAAAACCCCAGCTTTATTCACATTATCAGAAGCCCTTATTTCAGTTGAATTGTCGAAGGGAGCTGCTCTATTGAACCCCAATGGTTTGGAGGAACCGTCGCCACTGGTCGAAGGGACGGCTGCCTCGTCTTCAACAGACTCATTTTCTCGATTCGACAGCCACTCGGGATCGTCGTCGCCGGCACTCATCGTGGACACCTTGATGATTTCAACCAAAAATCACAAAGGAAAAGATGAAACAAATAAGAACTGTAAATACTCGATTATAGATGGAAGGAAACTCGGAATACTCGGAGAGAAATGGAACCCTAGGGTAAATGGAATAGCGAGGACAAATAAAAAATTTCCCTTTTTTATTATATAAAAAAATAAATATATATATTTTTTCCTTTTAAAATTTTATTAGATTTTTAGCAGTTATAACATTTTTTTTTTGCCAGATTCATATGAAATAATTTGCTATTATGTTTTAACTTATTTCCAATGAGTGGAATAATTAAAATTGATTATTCGATAGATTTATTTTACGATAAATGTTATTCTATCTTCATTTTACGATAGATTTATTTTACTCTCTCCAATTTATCTACTCTTTTATAACAAGGATATTTATGTATTTATTATCTTTTTTTTTGGTACAGGGACCTTCCGGTTTCCGGATCCACAGGGGAACCGACTAATCCAGAATCGAGCCGGGTAGGACCACAAGGGCGGCAAAGTTCTCCCTCAAGAGTTTTAACACTGCTGCATTCCCAGGACTCGAACTCGAGACCACTGGTTAAGCTGGAAGAGACCCAAGCCATCTCATCCAAGTGCTCTTGGGTTATGTATTTATTATCTTAAATATTAAAAAAATGTGCATATATAATAACCTTAACCTTAAAAATAATTTTCTAGATGTATTTAAAAATAGGGGACAAAATTATTTGCCCCAAACTTTTATTGAAACTTGCAATTTACTATATCAACTTTTTATTGACAATATGCGTTCCAGTAAGTCGTTACCAGTAACTACTACAGTAACACGCATCAACTCCACTTTTATTGTGCTTGTTGTCACGAGGTTAGGTTTTTTGCAATAAATTTTAGCCAATTCTCCACACTATATGGCCTGATCTCTTCGACTAATCAGCCTTTCTGTCGCACACCAAATACTCGACTAACAAATTATAAAATTTTGGATTAGTGTTTCACGCATAAGCAATAAAGTAACGCAAGAAAACATATATACATGAAGTAAATTCAAGATAACGTGTTTACGGGTTCCACGCCCAACCAATAAGCTCATAAATATTCAATAGCAATGCTGGAAAATGTCAAGGCTTGCACACAACCCGTGCGGTCTTGCTCATACGCGTGTATCTGCATGTCATTGTCAATTTATAAGATACAGGCCATGCGGTTGACATCCCCAATTGTTAGGAGATGTAACCACCGAGCAGTTGACCCAACTGCCCTCATCTTGTGTCATCTACTTGTCCGAAGTCAACTCGCCAACCGCCACGCACTTGTCAGGTATATGTCTACTTCAAATCCATAATTATTCCCGCCAAGAGCCGGGGTGCGGCGCCCATGCACGCTCGCCCCATTCGACTTTCATCAGCCGAGCCAACCCTCAGCCACGAACCATGATAGTCTGACATTTGCTACTAGAGCCATTCAACCAAGTGTAACCGTCAGAACCGAGACCACGTGTGCACAGGCCATGCACAACTGTCACCGACAGAACCGAGCTCTCGACTTTTCCATACGCGAAACCGACTTTGGTCAAAAAGGTCGACCCGTGATCTGACTGAACTAGGAGTGTTGGTAGGGCCCCGTACTATGCTCACGACCCCCTCACGTGCTCTCACATGATCGACTCCGTCCCCCTTTTAGACCCCCCTCCCCTCCCCCACTAAGTGGAAAAAGTCATTTTCTAGATTATATCCACTAGACATTGAAAAGTTGAATGTTGTACAAGTCCCCTAAGACCTATCTAAGCCCGATTGAACCTCCGTTTAGCCCAAGGAACGTTTAACTAAGCCCTACAACTCGGCTCTAAACCAAACTTGCCCAGAACCTCCTAGTCTTTTTTCGCATATCTTCTCTTATACGGCATTGCGCACACAGTTTGTCGGTGTCTCTCGGTCTTTGGTGCACTGAGGGAAATGCGCCAAGTCGAAGCCTCAAACTTAGGTCAATAACACTTGTCTACACATTTGGCGAACCTCATCATTCAATTGTGGTGGTGTTGAGAATGTTAGACGCACAAAATGTGTTTTGTGACCTTCCAAACAATATTTTTGTATTAACTGAACCTCTGTGCGATGTAAGGTGGCACTAACTATTTTATAAAATAGCATCAACAAAGTTCTCAGCATTTGTCGAGAAATGTAAACGGTTTTATCCATATGTTCGAGAGATGTTTGTCTTTTCCATCACAATCAAGTGCATGGTCAACCATTGCCTCAAATACCTATCGTGAGTAACTCTAACTGAAGAGATGACAAATCTCAATGGCCAAATGACATCGAGTCGGGTTTGAGTGAATGATGGATCGTAGCCCAACGAACTCTACCGAAATTCCAATGAACTCCTAAACCATGATCCCAAAATTGATGGAGTCTGTCATGAGGATGGTGGTTTGGATGTCGAAAATTGATGGTGGTCATCGTCGGGACATAGAAAATTGATGGTATGAATTAACGAAATTATCCCTAAATTTTAGTTTTTTTAATACAAAAACCACCTTATTTATTATTATTATTATCATTATTATTATTATTTTTCTGAGAGCTATATGAAAAATACATATAATTTGTATAGCCGAGTAATACAAAATAGCTATATTGTAAACTAGTACAACACCCGTGTATTACACGGGTGCTTGTTAAAAAATTATTCTTAAATTTTAAAATTAATGAGAAAACTATATTAAATTTAGTTTGCTTTTTTTTTTTTAAAAAAAATATATCACTATATATTTTAGAATAATATGTGTTACTTATGACTTACATGTGTTATATTATATTAGTTTTTGTAACTTATTTTATTTTTCTAATTAATAGTAAAAATAATTTTATTGTTGTTATAAAGATAAATATAAATTATTTTTTTATATATACAATATGGATATTAAATCGAAACTCATCAAAAGAAGATTAATTTGATATATTGCATATGTAAAACTGATAAAAAATACAAAAGTTACTAAATTTTAAAATATATATACAATTCAATAGTTATATTAAGGAATGATATTAAAAATGCAATTAATACATGTAACATGACCATAAATAATCAACATATTTATGGTAATCCGAATCTAATTATTTTTGGTTTGGAATTAAATTAAAATTAAAATTTACCCAAGCCTAATAACGAAGCATGTAATTTTGCCACATAAGATTCCAAAATCGCAGAAGGTAGGCTCAGCGCGTTATGGATTAATACATAGGGGAATTGTAAATTTGGGATTTTTTTTTTTGTTTTTAAGAAAAAACATTTTTCTAATTTGTAGCTGCACTTCATCATTTCTCTCAAAGAAAAAAACTACAAAGAACGAAAAGTTACACTACATCCTCGTCGATCTGAGATTTTGATTCCATCGGTAAATTCAGCTATGGCAGCGATGTCTACGGCGGGTTCTGGCCTGGCTTATCCGGAGAGATTCTACGCGGCGGCAGCCTACGCTGGTTTCGGCGGATCCCCTAACTCTGCGGCTAAAGGCGTCACCTCTAAGTTCTCAAACGACACTGCATTGCTCCTTTACGCCCTCTATCAGCAGGTTTGAGCTGTTTCATGTTTTCCCTATGAACTGTCACATTGATCGCCTTTGTTTCTTCAGCTATTGAACTGTTCTCCATTTACCTAGTTGAATTTCGTTCGATCCACTGGTTGTTGAGCACTACATTTCAGATTTCTTTGCTGAACTTGGATAATTGGGTAGTCATCTCAATACGCAGTCGACTAATTCAATTTGTCAGATCTCGTCTTTTGTTGTTGATCCCCTTTTTTGGATTTCTCTATACTATATATGTATCAGAAAACTCTTA